GTCGTAGGATACACGCGATACGCTATCGCTTGGTTTGACGAGGTAAGTCGCCGTTTTCTTCGCTATAGTTTTAAAGATTGTCTGCTTACAAAATGAATTCAAAATTTTATTATTTCAAGAATAATCCAAATAAACTGATATTTTTCGTATTAAATACATTAAACGGAAAATATATTCAAACCAGAATTCTAATGAATCACCACAAGCAAAAATATGTAATTTTTTACTATATTCGATAAGTAAAAACTGTCTAAAACTGTGAAAGTTTACAAAAAAGGCTAATCAATGAATACGATTTGTTATGTCATGTATATATATATATATATATATATATATATATATATATATATATATAACAGAGGATGTCTGTCTATGTGTCTGTCTGTCTGTCTGTCTGGGTGATACCTATATATATATTGTTATGTATATATATATATATATATATATATATATATATATATATATATAACAGAGGATGTCTGTGTATGTGTCTGTCTGTCTGTCTGTCTGGGTGATACCTTTTCACTCGAGATCCATCCAATCGACTTTGACCAAACTTGGCACACTCATTGTACAATGAACGAGATAGGTTCTTGGCGTAAAAAGTCGATAATTTAAAAAATCAATAATCGAAAAATCCGATCAAAAATCGATAAATTCAACTTTTTTCCTCCGATTTCGTTCAAACTCGGTATGTAGGTTACTTACATCATGATGAGTACAACGATACTGCATTTTTATTTCTACGCCAGTGTGTTTAGCGAAAAACGGAAAAATCGATTTCAACACAAAACGATTTCAACAAATTTTAAACTAAAAACTCCCTCAAGTTTCAATCAATCGAATACAAACTTCACTTAATTGTAGACAACAATGACAATTGTTTAACAGTCATCTAACTTGATAATTTAGTCCACCCATACAGTGAAACTCCGTGTAAATAGCGAAAAATGGAGATTTTTACTGCTTTTTTTTTCTTATTTTTGGTTGATCTTTCAATTAATTTTTAATCAAACTTAACAATTGCTTAATAAATGTATTCTCTTTTACATTCCTGGTAGCACACTGACAAATTGAATGTCAAAACCTCCAAAATAATTGTGGTCTTAAGTGGGTCTTCATGTTGCTTGTTTTATCTATTCATGTCCTGGGCTAACTGCGGTTGAATAAATACAGACTACTTCTCTTATATCAGTAACTGCATTAATTTAAAATGATTTTTAATGAAATCACTTTAAAGTAATTGAAGATAGACTCTGTTACATCTAAACGTGAAGCTGCTTTTGCTCCATTCTAATTGAACGCTTTTTCTGATCGATCAGCTGGCTATGGGTGCTAGTTGATCAATAAAAATAAAAAATACATAAAAGTATATATAACGCCATAATACTGCTGGGCACAAATTATAAAACTAAATGTTTTAAATTCGCATTGTTTATTGAAAATTGCAGTAAAAATACGCCACTATATAATATTTTATATCATAGTACATCTAAATTGTTCAGTATAATTTCCCTTTGAAGTAAATGATTGTCTTCAATTCAATGAGACAATGATGTAGTAATAATGTGCTTGTGCCATGCATTTTGTCCATATACAGTTTGTAACGCTTCAGTAAATTATAAATTTTATAAGGCTGTGCTATAAGTCTTTCACTGATCACCGGAATGAAATTCTAACGCTATGATATTGAAACTAAACTTAATCTTTAAACGCAGTTCCTCAATAAACAGTAAACAGTAAAATATTTTGAGCCATTTTATAGCATGTCAAACCCCAACTTTTAAATTGGGTACAATAACACGATTGCAAAATCGAACTGCCCTAATGTCATATTACCAATGACAGAACAGAAATGTGTTAATATTTATACTTTATGGATATGTGTGCATATGAGATATATAGTTTTTTTTACTAATGTTCACCCTGTACAAGACACAAGAGCCACTCGAGACAGAGGGTCACTGAAGGAGTTTGATGTGAGCGGTGAGAGTAAGAGGAGTAGTTTATGAGGATAGGTAGGAAAGATAACGTTAGAGAAGATCGGGGGATGATTAACAAATTTGGCCAAACATATCACATCTGATTTGTTTCGTTATTTTGTCATATATATATATATATATATATATATATATATATATATATATATATATATATATTCATATCATGCTTATTCTAAACCCAATAATAAAAAGAGATCTTTATCGATAATCCTTTTAATTTTACGCTTTGTTAAAGTGACCAAATTTAAAGTATTTCCAGTTATATTAGACAATGCAACATGAACTCAAATCTGTTATAAAGATTTACTAAACGTACCTTAGATGTGGCACAAAGCCTCATCTATAGAGCTTTTATTGTCGATCGAACTCCCTACTAATTGGACTAGCGAGACAAACTTGCTAACCATTACATCACGTCGAAGAGCCCAGTTCAAATATGTCATACTTTATGAAGGATAATTATTTATGCATGAAAGTGATTGTCAGTCTGCAGTTGGATCTACTTATCAATCTGATAAGTAGCTTTTCTATAGCGTGATGAGGTAATGTTTAGCTAGTATTGTGCCATAACACTACAGCATATCTAATTATTTCTTCTAAAATCTCGGTATATATAAACTGTCAATGTTTTCAATATAAACTTACCTTTGAATAAAGGATGCGCGCCAATTATGACTCCGGACAAAAGAACATTCTAGAAGACAGGTGATTTATGGGGCCGATCTTTTGAACGAAAGCGGTCATTATAAATGATATTTAAAATTAAAATGTTTCTCCTTTGCATCAGTTTAATACAAGTTCTATATGCATAAATTACTTTCTTATTTGATAATGGTAGCTCATAGACACACGATGCTACAGAACCCTTCTTAAGGGTAAAGAACGCAATGACGAGGAATCTAAAAAATCTGGAAACCATGTAAACTAGATAACTTTCTAAAAACATTAAGGAAATTAAAAAAAAAACGTGTTGAAACTAATTTGAAAAGAATTGACGACATTTTGCCAATGACAAATCACTCCCCCCCCCTCTCCCTCTCTCTCTCTCTCTATATATATATATATGTGTATTATTAATAAAATGTACGCTGTTTTTTATATATATATATATATATATATATATATATATATATATATATATATATATGTATGTGTGTGTGTGTGACCAAGTAAATAGTTAAGTAATAACAAAAGCCAGGATTGCAGATATATCGTATATTAAATAGTAAGTACACCAGAAGAGTATTACACGACTAGTGAGAGTGTATCGAATGAACTAGCGCTCAATCTATTCACTGTTAATATTTAACAGCCCCCACACCTGTATAAACGGGTTCAGGGTCTGTCTACCTCCTCGGATGAAACTTTTCCCTTCGGCAAAGCCTCGTCCGGGTTCCTCTCTGCTCCAGGCGGAGATTTTGACAGCAATGAACAATCTATTCACTGTTTTATTTAACAGTCCCCCCACGAGGAATGTATGTGGCACAAGGCCGAGTTTAACGTGTGTTTCTCCGAGTCCGTAGGCTCGGCCAAAAATATAGCCTTTGAACCCGCCTAGACGGGTTCAGGGCCTGTCTACCTCCCCGGACGAAACTTTGCCCTTCGGCAAAGCTTTGCCCGAGTTCCTCTCTGACGAGGCAGAGAGTTGAACAGGTGAACATTCTATTCGACTGTTCCCCAGAAGCCTTCTGTCCAACTAATCTTATAGTAGGCGGAAGAGTCTAACATAGACTTTTTAGAGGGAGAACACCATAACACCCCTCTTTTCAGCTTGACTCCGTATGGAATCTTTTTTTATAATTACCACACAATATTTTTTATTCAATCCTTTTTCACAAAAAAAACAAAAACAAAACACAACAAAAAAACAGAAACAACCACTTTGAAAAAGCTATATATAATAATTATGTTCACAATATTTTTTAAATGATAATAATTTGCCATAATCCAATGCGTATTGTGCTTTTCTGGTAATTCAAAGTTAATAAGTGAGAAGTTGGGGTTTTTACTCCTTTTTCTTTTTCTGTATACATGGTATGAAATGAAAGACGTTCAATATCTTTTCTTTTTCGGGTTAATTTCTAAAGATTCCGTAAATTTCCTTCTTCTTTTGGGCATTTTGATCTCTCAAACTGTGCGTTCTTGGTACAAAAACGTTGTAATAATTTGCAAAACCTAAAATACTTTGAAGATCCGACACATTTTCTGATGCTGACATATTCTTTATTGCTGTTGCCCTATCTCGGTCGGGACGTCTTCCGTCTTTGTCAATTATTTGCCCCAAGTATTTAATCCTCTCTAAGAAAAACTCACACTTCCTGTCTTTTAATTTGAATCTGTAATCCTGGATTCTCCTGAACACCTGCCAAACATGCGATTTGTGTTCCTCGATGCTCTCGCTTTTCATTAGGACGTCATCGAGATATGTGTTGTGGTACGATCCACCTAATTTACATAGTGGAGAATCGACCGATATAAATATGGGTTGGTACCGGAAGACGGGGGAAGAAGTAAGAAGAGATCGAATCGAGAGACTCTGCCCGACTGCGATTAAGTCAACCCATTCTGCAGGAACCGTCTTCCCAAGAATATACCAAAACTAACTGTAAATATTGTGTACCTTTTCCTTGTTTCAATACATTTTGTTTACGTACATTTTGTGTTGTATTATTATTATTCCATGCTTATCCAAGCTTCAACAATATGTCACCACAAAATCCAGACCATTTAACATCTTGTCCATGACCTGTTGAAAAATGGAAGGAGCGACTTTAACCCCGAACGGAAGTCTTAAAAATTTGTATAAACCCTTGTGGGTGTTTATGCAACGGAGCTTCGGACATTCCCCGTCCACGGGTATTTGTAGATATGCGTCGTTTAAGTTGATCTTAGAGAAATATACTTGTTTATACTGATTAAAATATTACCATATTAAACTAAGTACTTTCCCAATTACAATGTTTAAGAGTAAGCATGCGAAATTGCTTTAAAAATTAGTACATGTTACACATGTAATCCCCAACGTGCATTATCTATCTATCTATCTATCTATCTATCTATTCCAGAATGTCCATATCTATCTATATATCCCAGTCTGTTCATATCTACCTATCTATCTATGTTTGTAATTAAAAAAAATTATTAAAATTGTAATATATTTACTAAATAAATGATGTGCATGTACATGGTTTTGTTGTGTATAAATTAATTTTCAGATACGATATGTTGTAAACGTTTTAGATCATTTTACGCATGCGTGTCTGACCCTACATGAATTTACCCTTTCGACACTTTCTTACACACACACACACACACACACACACACACACACACACACACACACACACACACACATATATATATATGTATGTATATTTCTATGTATATATTATTGCACTATATACATGTACATTCATATATATATATATATATATATATATATATATATATATGAAACTTAGTTAAGATCAGCAGACGTTGTTAGCTCGAACCGGAAATTAAAAAGTATAATAAAAAGTTAAAAATGGACAGCAAAGAAAGGCAAAGAAATGGTTGGCAAATACTTTATTCCGAGGAAGAAGCACGAACATTGAAATATATGAGATTTAGACGATAACAAGTTTTCTTGACTTGCCATGTCTAAAATAAACGGATGGTACGTTTATTTGTTCTTATTCGATAAACTTACCCGAACGACATGCACATAGATCTTTGGTAATTCGCCAAAATTAAATCTGTTTGGTCACGTTAAAATATATGTGCATAGCTTTCTATAAGCCTTTTTTTACGTTGCTTCCAACAATCTGCCCCGATCAATCGACTGCTAAGCATAACTTACCACCGGAAAGAGAGAAGAAAATAAACACTTTGATAAAAAAGACAACACTTTGATAACACTTTCATTAAAACAACACTTTGATAAAAAGACAACACTTTGACAACACTTTCATTAAAACAACACTTTGATAAAAAGACAACACTTTGATAACACTTTCATTAAAACAACATTTTGATAAAAAGACAACACTTTGATAACACTTTCATTAAAACAACACTTTGATAAAAAGACAACACTTTGATAACACTTTCATTAAAACAACACTTTGATAAAAAGACAACACTTTGATAACACTTTCATAAAAATAACACTTTCATAAAAAGACAACACTTTGATAACACTTTCATTAAAACAACACTTTGATAAAAAGACAACACTTTGATAACACTTTCATAAAAATAACACTTTCATAAAAAGACAACACTTTGATAACACTTTCATTAAAACAACACTTTCATAAAAAGACAACACTTTGATAACACTTTGATAAAAACAACACTTGGATAAAAAGACAACACTTTGATAACACTTTCATTAAAACAACACTTTCATAAAAAGACAACACTTTGATAACACTTTGATAAAAACAACACTTGGATAAAAAGACAACACTTTGATAACACTTTCATTAAAACAACACTTTGATAAAAAGACAACACTTTGACAACACTTTCATTAAAACAACACTTTGATAAAAAGACAACACTTTGACAACACTTTCATTAAAACAACACTTTGATAAAAACATTTTGATAAAAAACCTTCTTAGATAAAAAAACACTTTGATAAAAACAACACTTTGATAAAAAAGAACAAAAACAAACGAACACTTTGAGAATAAAATGATCAAAACCATTCTTCTGTAATTAAATTGGTTCGAACTACTGCTCTCATCTTGGCTATAAATGTTATCATAGATAGAGCGTTTCGGCCAAGTATCCTCTGGCCATCATCAGATGTCAGTGTTTGGCTGACATACCTGTTGATTATTTTGCTGTTTTGTCCCTGTAATGCTAATATTCGTTCTTGCAGAATATTTTAGCATTTAACCTAAATTTCCGGTTATAGGCGATGAACGGGTGCTATCTTAGGGAGGCCCCCTACCTTGAGCACCTCTTGAGACTTACTTTTAACCCAGGCAACAAAGATGAGGACAACAGTCCGAGTAATGTAAATAGTGTAAATAATTAAAATACCTCATCTCAGAAATAGAGACAGAGGTTGAAGGTGAATATGGCAACAAAGATGAGGACAACAGTCCGAACAATGTAAATAGTGTAAATAATTACAATACCTCATCTCAGAAAATATAGACAGATTACTAGAATAATTTTCTTAAAAGTGTGGATATTATTCCCTATGATGCTGAAGGTATATATATATATATATATATATATATATATATATATACCTTCAGCATCCCGACTCCAAATTTTCGTAGACAGACCCTCTGAGAATTTCTCCGTCCACACGTCAGGAGGTGTTATCAATGGACTGCTTCTACTTCGCGATTTTTCTTTTTTTATATATGCTTTTCGTTAGTACTATTTTTCCCATAGTTTATGTGTGCGTCCGTGTGTGTGTTTGCGCGCGCGTGCACCCATGCGTCCGCCTGCGCGTTTGTGGTTACATGTAGAAATGTCGTGGTTATTTATCCTTTCCATTGTTTCCTCTTCACTTTATACTCACTCCTTATTCTGTTTTTTTTATTATTACTTTTTTTCTGTCTTTTTTCCTCTTTTCTTTCAGTTGTAATCATTTTGACTTTCTTGTCATACTCTTGTTGTTAATTTTTAGCGTTCTCGTGTTTTCTTGAGTTAAGTATATTGTATTTCAATTTTTACGTAAATTACTATTATTTTTTTTCATAGTCTATGTGTGCGTCTTATATACACAAGCCGAGAACCCGTATATTATTGGTTTCTGCCATTGGCAATGTGACACCATTTTTCTTCAGAGTTCCAGCACTTTGGTCTTTCACTTTACCTTTCTGTTTTCACGAGGTTAACCGGTTCGTATCATTCGTACTATTGTTTGCTCTTAAGAAGTGTTCTCTTGCATCGTATGCCCATGGGCTATAATTTGAAGCAGTTGTGAAAAAGAACCCAGATACCTAACAGCATTTTGCTAGTTGAAGTTTAAAATTTGAAATGTTATCCCGCTGCAGGATAAACCAGTTCTTGTTCATCATTATAGGTAAAAATCTTTGCAGCTTTGGATAAATCAGTTCTAAATCATAAAAACAAAGAGTCAGTCGCGAGGGGCTGCAGTTTTCAGAAGGAACCTCTCTCCATTACGGCACCTCCAAATGATTCATTGTGAAGATTTGGGAAAAATGAGACGAATGCAAATTTGTTGACCTAAAGAAAGCTACAGTTCCGATTTTCATACAGGAACTTCTTTACATTAACGATCAAGAAAAAGGTCAGTTTTGAAACGAATAGGCAAACTACAACAGACATGAAGCCGTGCAAATTGTTGATCATTATTAAAATCATAGGGTACCCACTTCAACCACTTTGAGGTGATGCAATGGCTTGTAAGCTGAGTGCGATTCTCATTTTGTGACCCAAACTTTCAGTCTTGTGATCCATCTAAGGTACGCTAAGAAAATTACCATGGGGTATCGACGTGGTGTAATGGTTAGAAAATTTGTCTCGCTAGATAAATTAAGACTGAATAGTGAGTTCGGTTCTCACTGGGTGTCCCATATTTCGGCCTTGTGCCACATCTAAGCCACGCTTATAAAATCTGTTATTGGGCACTTCGACGTAGTGTAATGCTTAACAATCTTGTCTTGCTTGACTAATTAGGATTAAATAATGAGTGCGATTTTCATTGGGTACCCTTTACTTTCGGCCTTGAGCCATATCTAAGCTACGTTTAGAAAATCATTTAGGCTCTTCGATGTGGTGAAATGGTTAGCAAATTTGTCTCGCTAGAACAATTACCACTGAATAGTGACTTCGATCCGCACTGGGTGCCCCATACCTTCTGTCTTGTACTACGTCTAAACTACGTTTAGAATATCACCATAGCATAACGATTTATGCATTTTCTTCATTGCGCTACATTTCACTCGACTTTTACATGGGATAATCCGAGTTTTGCTTGAGTTTCTGAATGAACTTACACAACTGCTTTCGATCTTGGATCACCGGAAGTGAATTTCTTGACGCAATGACGCACGTTCCGGTCTGAAGCTCACTCCAAATACGAAACACCAACGATGTTGCGGGTGGCTTCGTTAGTACATTGTCTGCGTTTGAACTCATTAAACATAAAGATACAAAGGACAGCGTATATATATATATATATATATATATATATATATATATATATATATATATATATATATATTGCTTTGATACGCTATAAAAATATATATCTTTGCTTTGATACGCTATAAAACTATATAAATATATAAATAATGAAAGACATTAAATGGCAAAAAAAAGAGGATATTCCGGGCTTCAAAATAATTTATAGATGTTAATATAAACAGAAGGGACCGATGCGAAGTTTACCGGTCGCACTAAGACAATACAGAAATAGCCATTTATTTTAACCCAAACTCATAGTATATAGTGCAAGGAAAAATAGAGATCTTTACTTTGAACCTACGTTCAGAAAAATCATAGAATTTTAAAAAAAATACATTTTATCCTTTTTACAAATTTAACTCAAGGGCCATTCAAAGTAGAGTGTTAATATATCGGTAATGGTGAACGAGCCGTATGATATAAGTGGAAGAGAAGGTGTCAGGAAATAATTATGACTTGTATTGTCCCACACAAATACGAGCTTCGTAAATATCATGGTAGTAATATAATATATAATATAATATTTAATAATATATATTATATTATAATGCAGTAGAATCACCCATATCAGGTTTGCATCATATCCGGTGTACCTCATATCCGGACATGATTTTGATGTGTATATTTGAACTATTTGGGTGATATGTAACTGATTTGAAATTTCTGTTTTTCAGGAAATTTACTTTGAATAATTGCTTATGCTTATTTCACCCTAATGGCTTGTATTGGTGCAAAGGATGATGGGAATAAGAGGACAAAAACAACTTTGGGATTACCGCAAAAAGTGGAAATTTGAAACAGACTAGACTGTGGTGAAAGTTCAGTGTTACCAATGGCTGAGTTCAACATAGGAAAGTCAACATTGATTGATATAAAATCTTCTAAAGAAACTATTTTCCAGCTTTCCCACTGTCATAATGAACAAGGAAATAAAAATACATGATTATGATGAAACCTGGACTGAAAT